TTTTTTTTTAATCAAAATCTTTATATCAATCTTTATATTACTTTACAATTCTTAACACTTCACAATATAGCTCTGTTAAATATCTCAAATTAGCTTTGATAGATCCCTTGAATAGATATTTCATTCTGAAATCTTTGTATGTATTTCTTTTCCTCTTTTCTTTTATACTTCCTTTATACCAGTTGAACAACTATAAACCTGATGCTCATTTGATAGCTAGAACTGCTTTGGCTAATTAACTATTACCTTTCAAACTTTTTCATTGAAACTATACACATCGCTCGCTACTCGCTTGTAACATTAGGATAGCTAGAATCTACAGCTATCGACAATGAACCCAACGAAGCTGACAGGTTTGCGTTAACAGCAAATGTTTCAGGAAGGCAGCGCCATCATAGAAGACAAAAAGGGCTTTTATGAGCACAAAGCTCAACTAATGCGCTTGTTTTGAGAGTTAATGGCATCCAGTGAGGCAGGCAATAAAAGCAATAGACGAGGCTAGCATAGCAACACAGTCAAATCTATGAGGGAAAATGCTAGCAAACCTACAGAGGATGAATCTAATTTGCACTGTGTGCGGAAATCACTTGAAAAAAAAAAGTTTTGTCAAAAATATCAAGAGAAATCTCGATAGACACGCTGACAGAATTGTGGTATATCTTACCTTGGATGAGGCCAAAGAGACAATCGCAAATTACTTTATGAATCGCTTTGGTGTGGAATGGAATTCGAGTGAGATTGATGAATTAATAGAGGAGAAAGTAACGAGTAAATCAAGCAAGCAGTAGCATTTCTTATACACTATTCATTTATTTCTTTAGCTCTCTATACAAAATTTACTAGCATTTAATCTATTTTTTTTAATATATAGTTGTTTCAATTTCTTATGTAATTAACAAAATGATTGCTTTTTGGTATTCAAATGAAGATTATACTTCAAAGCCTGCAATGAGGCGACCCCTTTTTATGCTTAATAGTTTTGATAACCATCGAAAGTAAGAAAGACTACTCGCCTCAGTAGAGTTCGCTATCATTGCGAAAGACTACTCGCCTCAGTAGAGTTCGCTATCATTGCTGATGTCAACTAACTGGATATGCGACACTTCTTCCAGCACAGTAGCCATTAGCGGTGATAGATCAGCCATGAAAAGCTCAATATACAGCTCACGCAACTCGTACTATCCTCAAACAGGCCAACTTGTGTGGAAAACATGTATTTATTGAAATATAATAGTTTCGTTCTGTAACCTGCTACTACTAAACGAAAAGCGTGCGTAATTGTGAATCTTTCTCTTCTACAATGCTCCACGTTTACATCAATGCGAGCAACTCATATAAGCATACAGCATGTTAACATTACCTCTAACTACTCAAAAGAATGCAAAACACAGCTAAACACTGATGCATTTGAGTAGTGATTTCTCGCTTTGGACGCCGTTTTAAACAGCCAAAATAACACCAAATAGCTGCTCTCACCTATAAATTACTCCCTGATACCTTTGCCCAACTTTTTTGTGGTCGCCAAACTTCGACCAAAAGCCATGAGGTATACTCCATGATTTTCAATGAGAATCAAGCAATCGCGCTTTTCACCTGAAAATCGAAGATTTCTATTATGGCATACGAATGTGTTTTTGCCTCGGATGGCTCTCTACCTTCGCTTCGGTGAGTACCAACCTGCGCAGCGGCAGCTCGCGCTGTCGATTGCCCTTGTTCATCTTATCAAAATACTCCTACTTTATTTTGACCCTCCACTTACACATGAAAACCCTTCATATTATCTGTAGATATTATTATGTAATGCTCTACATCCATATACACGTAGCTATTTCATATACGGGCAAGTATCTCACAGTTATTATCCCTTTTTAGTCAAGAGTGTGCCTAATACAGCAAAATCTCAATACCTTTGAGCTGCGTTTTCTTGCGTTCAAGGCCGTTTTGGATCATCAGAATAGTACCAAACAGTTACTATCATCTGGCAGTTACTTTCTGACACGTTTGCTCAACTTTTTGAAGACCCAAAAACATGGTTGAAATTCGACCAAAAATCATGAGGTGCCCCTCATGGTTTTCATTAAAAATCAAACGATCGCATTTTTCACCTTGAAAATGAAGACTTTTACTATGGTATGTATTGAATCAAAGTGTTTCTCTCGATTCAAAGCAACTTCTGAAACCACTCAAATGAGGCTTTCATATGCAAAATTTCGACTTTCGGCCAGAAACCTCTTTTCATATTTCCGTAAATTGCTCAATAGGTTTATTCAAAACACCTACCTTACTTGGTACCATAGGATGCGCCTTGAAAAGCACTCCAAGAAAGCTTAAGGAAGCATGGTATGATAATCATATTTTTATAGTCGAATCTGGCAAAACAGTTGAATCAAGTCGAAAAATTATCAGAATCTGACCAATCTAGAGTAGACTCAAAGCCTGAATTTAAATTAATTTTGGCGGCTGGTGGGGCCGGCTGGCAAACTCAATGCCCTTTTAATCATGAAGGCAATACAGTAATAGACACTTTTGAAGCGTATGGAAAGCAGGTGGCAAACTACATAGCACTGTTGTTAAACATGCCATTTTCCTTGAATTTTATATTCAATAACGGCAGTCTACCAAAATACTTATCTTTTTTGAGATTTTGAAAATGTCTAAAACTTATTAATTTATGAGCCTTTCGACTCTTTGGGGTAGTTTCTTGACCTACACTTCGCTTTTGTGGAAGCCAAACTACGTTCAGGCGGCTAGTTATAGCATATGTTAAATAAAAACGTTTTTCTCGATCCAAACTAACCTTTGTAATTTGGTATGTAAGATTTTATATGGAAAATCTCGACTTTCTTGCCAAAAACCTCATTTTATATTTTCTAACGTTGCTCAATAAGTTTATTTGAAACATATATTACGTTTGACATCATTGAATGCGCCCTAAAAAGCTCCCCAGAAAAAACATTGGGAAGTATGGTTTGATCGTCGCAATTTGCATTGTCGAATCTGGCAAAATAGGTCCTGTTTTTTAAAAATTCTGTTTACTGATTGCGCCGCGTACACAAAGAGTGATAGGTCAGTGTGAAGAAGCGTGTGCAATCATGATAAGTAATATGTATAAGAAATATAAAGATAAAGCATAGAGAAGCACTAAGCTATACTATACTATACAAATACTACTATATAAATATACTACAGGAAGGAATGGCACTGATCCTCATCAATGGTCTGACGAACATTGTTTCGGATGCTAGCCAATATGGCTGTTTGGTCAATGGGAACCTTGTCGTAGATAAAATGCATATGTGCCAGCCATAGCTGTGAGAGTGTAGTAATGAGGATTCTGTATGGCTTGATTCCTTAGAGTTGGCAATCCAAACATTGGAAAACCCAGAGACAGAAGAACGTCTTTGAACTCTTGGATTGTAGTCGTTGGCCAGAGAAATTCAAAAATGGCATTCTGCCATATTTTTCTTTTTGGATGGACAATGAAAAGGGGGATGGCTAGGGGAATCTTTTACAGACAGACAGGTAGGACACAAAGGTGGTTCGAAAACTGTGGGCATGCTACCTTGTAAGGCGAAATAGGTCGAACTAAATCCAAACAGCACAGAAATCAACAAATTAGGACAGCATGCCGAGCAGAGCTTTAATCGAGTTTGGCTGGCAAAATGGGTCACGAAGATAAATAATGCTTTTGAAAGCTGATAAAGAGGATATTGCAACTTGAAAAGCAACGCAACTTTGGCTGCATACTGCCTATTAATTTCTTTTGTGCAGCGTTATATTGGGTAGCTTTTAACCTTTGCAAATTGCTCATCCAACTGCGAAATGCAAAATCGCCACCATACTCAGAAAGACATTTGCTAATTCGAGTGTAAACCTCAATTTTGATTACGACGGTTGAATTGTATTGCATTTGATCTTGGATCATGAATCAAGGCATGGCCTAACTCGTCTTGTGGAGCCTCGGTTTGTTACAATGATGGAGAATGTCATTTTTTAAATTAGTTTACGAGTACTAAGAAACCATACATTCATCCTTTTAGCTACCAGCCGAGCTTCAATCGATAGTTAGTAAATACACTCGCTGTTCGTTATCTGCTTTGCGTCCAAGTATAAGTTTGGCTGCTGAGACAAAGGAATTACTTTGGCAGATTGTGTGATCAAATCAAGTCAATTCAGGACTTGCATCGCTTAAACCTTACTACGTAAACCATATTTCATGATATCCTATTTCCGATCCATAAGAAACAAGGTAATTGATGCTGTAACCAATCCTTGGTAGGAAATCAAATGTTATTACAAATATAAAGCAAGGAACCCAAGATAGTTACACCACTTTCGATGTGATACGGTTTCCTTTCAGCTGGTTTAATTGTGAAAGAAAATCCTTTAATCATGCTAAATTATCCTAAATTTTTCGAAATCACTCAAGATAGATGCAGCTCTTTTTCGTTTGTATAAGAATCAATATTTCCAAATACAATCTAGTAGAAGGTCAGGAAGACAGACATAAATTTCTTTTTCGAAATTTATCATGGAGCCCCGTAGTACAGATATGAGAAGATTTCGCTGTGGTGTTGGTGTTGATTTGTTCTTTTTGGGAGTGCCCCGGGTCAATCAACTTGTTTGATCTGCATTCTCATGCGGGAGCAAATTTCGTGTTATTGGGTCCATAGCACTGATTGACGGTGTTGTTTACTTTATAAACATGTCCAACAATTGACATAGTCCATTCCAGTAGGTTTGGATATCGGGTTTGTACTAGCATCTCCCATTAGATGATGCAACATTAAATTTTAAACGGGCACAACGAGCTTCTTTAAGGATGTTCCGTTTTGGACAGCGCCGTTGATGTCGAGGAACAAAGATCTATTGGAGATTGAGATAATTTCGCTGCAACTGTTTGGTCGCATCTCTATGTGTATAAAAGGGACAAGTTTTGGCCTGATTCTTCTCTCATTCTCCACTTATTCTACCTTGTTAATACAACACTTGCTCACAAAATGGCTATTTTCCGTAACTCTTTGATTGCTACTGCTTTGACCTTGTTGTTCTCTGCCTCTACACACGCTCATGTCACTCTGAATCCCAAGTTTGCTGAACCTGGTCAAAACCTCACTACTGCTTTCCACGTTCCTCATGGCTGTAATGGATCTGCTACCACTGGCATTACGGTTACTGTGCCTGATGCTATCACTGTTCTCACTCCTGAACAAGTCAACAATTGGGTAAGTCAATATGTTAAGAGGTTGTGATGACCGGCATTGTACTTACAGTCCATACTTAGACATTAACTACTACTTATCGTGATGAATCAAACACCACAGTTAGCACCATTACTTGGAATAATGGCTACTTGGATCCTAAGGGTGCCATTGATTTCCCCATGACCTTGTCTCTTCCTAACTCTGACTTGAGCTCTCAGCCAAATGTTACTTTGTACTTCCCTGTTGTGCAAACTTGGTAAGTAAAAACTCACTCTAGTTCATGGTGGATAGTAACTAATTCATAATCCATCTAGTCAAGTTGGAACTGCCAACTGGACAGCTCTTGGTAATGACCATGAGGGTGAGCCTGCTCCTACCATTGTCATTGTCAAAAATGCTACCCAAGCTGCTGCTGATGCCATCGCCATCAAGGCCAACGCTACCGCCTCTGCCTCTGCCTCTGCAAGCGCTAGTGGTGCTGCTGCTACTCAGACTGGCTCTGCTGCTAGCAGTATCTATGCTGGTATCTTGCCTTTTGCTGCTGCTATTGGTGCCCTTGCCGTTGCTCTCTAAATTCCTTTTAATACTTACTAGCTATCGCTTCCATATCAACTTAATCTTATGTAATATACTCAAAATAAACAATGGCAGTCGTAAAACACTGAATTTGAAATAGAAATATACTTTGTTGCAAGATGAGAGCATTTCACTTTTTCTTCTTTGCTTTCGAAAAGATACGATTTCTCATGGAGAATCCTCATGAACAACAACAGATCGCTTTGCTGAGCAGAATTATAGCCAACGTAGTAAGTTGAAATGCGCTTAAATGGCCCGTAAATGTTGCTAATGAAATGAGGCATTGTAGAGCAAGCTGAACAAATCAATGGAAGACATGAACACCAAACTTGAGGTAGATACAGCGTTGCTTTGACCGAGTTCTTGTACTGACATGTAGCCTAGAGCATAAACAAAGACAACAGTGACATTGTATTAATCTCTGACATGTGGAGTGCTTACAATGGATCAGTTCGTATTCACATTGACGATGCCAAAGAAGAAGCGAGAAGCAAGAAATAAAGCGTATACCCCCCAATGAATATCTTAGTCACATCCATCAATAAACAACAGCGTCTTTTTCTTTCAACTGTCTCGACTAGGTTTCATCATGAGTGAAGAAAGTGTGATTGACACCATCATGGACGATTTGCTCATGGAAGAAAGTCGACTTGAACAGGACCTTTCGACTTCTGAAGACGAGAACAATGAAATGGTGGATGCTGAAACTCAAGCCAAGCGAAACTGGGTCATGCTTATGCGCCATCAGTTTTCTGTTCGTGCTGAATTTCCTTCCACTAAAACGATACTCAAGGCAAACGGAAGATTAAACCAAGAGTAAGTTGGCTTCGTCTGAACAGACAAGCAAAAGGATGCTAATCCAGTTTAGATACTTTCGACCTAACGCAGATACACATCAAAAGAAGGAACACATATGGACAGTTGCTGAGAGAGACCTCTTGATTCAGGGCATTCAAAAGTATGGCATTGGCAACTGGAATGACATTCGCAAAGAGCTATTGAATGAATGGGTACAAATGAATAGCAATACAGTTGCATTCAATGAGATTAAGGCCATACTTTTCTGTAGACATCCAACGATTTGAGGCTGAAATGTGTTCGGCTAATTGGACGCCAAAATCTACAATTGTATAAAGATTGGAAGGGTAATGCAGACGAAATACAACGCGAATACGAGAACAACAAACGAATTGGAACAAAATACGGCGCTTGGAAGCAAAGCGTGCTTGTCTATGATGATGGTGGCAAAGTAGAAGAGGAATTAGTGGCGTATCATCAAAAGTAGGATGGTTCATAAGAATAAGCCACTCTTTGTATTGGCTTGTTTGTTGACGAAAAAATCTACATGTCGTTATTCTTCTTTCAATACATATCACTACTCTCACTCTTTACATAATAAAAAATAAAAAAAAACACACCATGGATGCCAGCATAGCCAGCGTACCAGCACCTACACTCAAAAGAAGTATATCTTCTTCGGACGACATACTACTACAAGAGAACAAAAAGCGTCCTCGCGCTGATAATCTTCTCACGGAACTGTCTGACATCTTGGTAGAAATAAAGGCGACTCCATCGTCTGGAGAGATTTCTGCTGATTTACTCAACTCGCTTCGATTACTCATGCTACAAATCGAGAGCTTGGCTGCTGACGAGACCAACATTGAAGCAAAAACCCTCAAAGATGAAAGCGACAATTGCTTGGAGTTATGGTTCCAGGAATTGGTTGCACAATGTGAAGCAGATGGAGAGGAGTTGATATTGGAGCCAGAGGAATACAATGCTGTCAGCGATAATGAAGATGAAGAAGATACCATTGCTCTTGCACTGGCATTACAGGACGAGGAGGATTACTGCAAAGAGTTTGAAAAGGGGCAGATTTGCATTAAAAAAAAAGAAGAAGAGGACGACGAAGAGGTGGAGGTCGATATTCTGTAGATCGTATACATGACAGACTCGCAAATGCTCATAAACTGCAACCAACTCACCCAAAAGGACGTTTGATTACACAGAACTGACGGTGATGATATTCATGGCAATCAAAGGCAATGTAAATACTTCAATAAAATGATATCAGACGGAAGCATCGAGTTGAAATGCTTTCGGCTCATACAATGAATTATGTCGAGCTTGCTGAAGACTCACTCCATCTTGAGACTTGATATTCTGGCTGTGTTGTTGCAGATTACTATGTATGCCTGTTAGATTCAACCTTCTTTATATATATATATATATATATACAATGATAAAAAAAAAAGTATAGATTTTAATGACGATGCGATGTAGAATATATGAATGTAGTATAAGGGAGAAACAACTGAATTAGAAGCTCTCGAGTGTCATTTGTTTTGCTACATCTGTGTTCTCGACCATAACTAGGAACTCCTCAAAGCTAATCTTTCCATCACCATCCTTGTCAGCTTCCATAATGGTTTTATCGACAATTTGCTGCAATTGGTTATCCTTCAGATTACTTCCAACCATCATTTTGAGCACGAGGAATAGTTCACCGTTTGAAATAAATCCATCTCTGTCCATATCATACACCTTGAAGGCAACTATTCAATTTGCATCGAGAAACTGTAAGTAAACATCTCTAGTGATATCGATGTATAAGTCTCCTCTTACATTCCAGCTTTTCTCTCTTATTACCGCGAGCACTGAATGCGCTCAAGCCTTTGATGAATTCATGGAAATCAACATCCCCTCCGCCGTCCTCATCGAAAATGGCAATCATACGAGAGGCCAAAGGATTGTTGGCGATTTGTGGGATGGAGAGAAACTCGTCCTTATCGATAGAGCCAGAGTTATCCTTATCCAGCTTCATGAAACGCTTGTACAGACGTTGAATTTCTTCTGCAGAGACTAGAGTCATGTCGTTAGATTTGTTACCATTGAAACCCGAAAAATCACATACAGTTAGACGAGTTGACCATATCCTCGAGTTGTGAACCAGATTGACCCATATTGATAAATGTTATTCGAGTAAAAATGATGCAAGTATAAAAGAAGAAGAAGAAACAAAAAAAAAAAAAAAAAAAAAATCAAACGAAAGGTGCAAAGCGAAAAAATAAATTTATAGCCGCGTGAGTTTCTCATTTCAACATGTTGTGTTGAGCACAAGGTGAATCAATAGTACAAGCGGTTATTGAATGGACAGCCATGTTTCTTATAAGCGTCAAAAAGGTCTCATATTTGAAAACAACAATCTTTATATTTTGCTGAATAATTATAATGTACAAGAATATCAAATTAATGATGGAAAAGTCTCAAGTTGGTGTGAACAAGAACCATATCATTGGTATCAGCAGCGGCAATAACGACATTATCTTGAACAGATCCAGAAGCAGCAGCAATGTACTTGACGCCTGAACGATGAGCACGGTAAATGTTATCGGAGAAGGGGAAGAAAGCATCAGAGGACACAACAGTATCCTTCAATTGGCTCATCCATTCTTTGCGTTCTTCAGCGGTAAGAAGTTCAGGAACTGTGTTGAAGTTGGCTTCCCAAGCTTCACGTTCGACACCCTATCATAACAGACATTAAATACACTGACCCCGCCATCTCTTGTTTGATTGCAATATACATACCTCACCAGTTTGGTTAGTGACAAAGAGATCAATGGCATTGGACTTGTCAGCACGCTTGGTGCCCTTCTTAAAGTCGAAAGCAAGGACCTTGGGATGGTGGCGCAACCACCAGTTATCAGCCTTGTCACCGGCAAGACGAGTACAGTGAATACGAGATTGTTGGCCAGCACCAAGACCGATAACCATACCATTCTTGGCATAACAGACAGAGTTGGATTGGGTGTACTTGAGGGCAATAGTGGCGACAATCAAATCATCAACAGCCTCCTTGGGCAACTATATATCGCATACACACAGCAATCAGCACATGTTCCATCAATATAATCTAGCCAACTTACGTTCTTGTTCTTGGTAACAACGTTGGTGAAGAGAGAAGCATCAATCTTGAAGTTGTTTCTCTTTTGCTCCAAATACAAACCATAGACTTGTCTAATTTCTTGTTGCTCGGGCTCGTAGCTAGGGTCCATCTTGAGGACACAGTACTTGCCAGCCTTCTTGGCCTTGAGGATATCAAGAGCCTCTTGATCATAATCAGGAGCAATGACACCATCAGACACTTCACGAGAGATGATCTTTGCAGTAGCAACATCCACCTTGTCAGAAAGAGCAATGAAATCACCGAAAGAAGACATGCGATCAGCGCCACGGGCACGAGCATAAGCGCTGGCAAGAGGAGTCAAAGGCACCTTCAAATCGTCAACTTGATAGACCTTCTTGTCAGTGTCGTTCAAGGGGAGGCCAATGGCAGCACCAGCGGGAGATACGTGCTTGAAAGAAGCAGCAGCAGGAATGCCAGTAGCTTCCTTCAACTCCTTGACCAAAGCCCAAGAGTTCAAGGCATCCAAAAAGTTGATATAACCGGGAGAACCGCTCAAGACCTCAACGGGCAAGTTACCATCCTTGACAAAGATTTGAGCAGGAGCCTGGTGAGGGTTAGCACCATAACGAAGAGGCATCATAGCTTGGTTCTTGGCGTATTGGTGACGGAAGTAGTCAGAGATGGCAGTGTCATAATCAGCAGTTTGGTTGAATGCCTTCAAAGCCAAAAGGTTGCGAGTCTCTTGAGTGATCTCACCGCCCTTGAGTTCAGCAATGATCTTGGAGTAATCGGAAGGATCAGAGACGATAGAGACACGAGCATGGTTCTTGGCAGCAGCGCGCAACAAGGTAACACCTCCAATATCGACTTCTTCAACAGCTTGAGGAATGGTGACATCGGGCTTAGCAATGGTTTCCTTGAAAGGGTAAAGGTTGCAGACAACAATGTCGATCTTTTCAATGTGTTGCTCAGCAAGATCCTTCTCGTCGCTTTCAATGTTACGAGCCAAAATACCTGGTGACATGTTGGCGTCAGATCAGACTCGAGATGTTTACACGAAAACTACTTACCACCGTGGACAGCAGGATGCAAAGTCTTGACACGGCCACCCAACATCTCAGGAGCCTTGGTAATTTCAGAGACATCACTATGTAGATCCATCAGCATGCCATCATCCCAAATCTCTACATTTCCTCTTGACAATGCACTTACCCAATGGGAATGCCAGCCTCACGGACAAGCTTAGCAGTGCCACCTGAACCGAGCAAACGCACATTGAGCGCGTGGAGATCCTTGGCGAAATCTAACAAGCCTGTCTTATCGTAGACAGAGAGGATAGCTATTCAAATGTCATGTTAACAACATGCCAAAGTTCCCGAAAAGAAGCACATCAATTACCAATCTTTTGAGACATTTTCAAAGTAGGAATGAAGGGTGAAGAGCAGAAGAGAGATGGGATTCAGAAGCCTTGCTTGAACCTATTTAAGCTTCTGGCAAATCAATAGATGTTCCATGCAAAAAAGTGACTGGCTAGATGTTGGTCATATCAGTTGTGAAAAAACTAATAGAGAGATGTTTTCCCAAAAGTAGATGCATTAGATCCTCACTCGGACACATGGCCAATGGTAACCCTTGAATGAAACGATTTTAAGATTTATTGACAGCATGCCAAAAAAGATATATTAGCTACATGATTGCGTATGTGTGTGTGTAAGGGGGAGGGAGGGGGTGATTTCAAAGGGGCTTAAGGGGGGAAAGAAAGAAAAAAAAAAAAAGTTGAATGAATAGGGGGGTATTGGATACATGACAGTAAAGTCTCATTATAATTTTCTTAAACTCTGTGTGTGCGATTTGAACAAAAAAGAAAAAAAAAAGGCGTTCCTGGGTGTGTAAATGAAAAAATAGGGATGAGGCGAGCTTCTAATGTGAATATTTACTGGTAGATCCATTTGCGACATCCAGGTGCTTCACAATGGCAAGCGTATCGAGCAGCACCCTTATTTCGTTCATCGTTGGAGACATCTGTTCTGCCATTGTAATCAAAGCAGAGCTCTTCATTCTTGTGGATATCCCGTTTAGCAAAGAAGGCCAATCGATGCATTTGGTTGTCAGCACTGTCGTAAAAGACTGCAAATACCTCGAGATTGGGTGAGCATGAATGGTTGAAGAATCGACTCACGTTGCCCAGAGCATACGAGTCAATCACATATTTTGTTGGTAATTCAGATTGAGCAAAATCCATGTCAAATAGATAACTGCAGCCCAATTGATCATAGACCACACCTCTGCTATCGCCTTCCTCGACTGTAATCACCTCGCCAATGTATTCTTCAATAAATGTGCCTTTGGGAATGTCTTGTAAGCTTCGAACACCCCATCCCTTGCCCTTGGTTTTGTACACTTGTAGTGGAATCTTTCGTCCTCGCTGAACCACTCTATTTTTGCAACGAGCTCCACATTCACAGGATTGATTACACTCATAAATGGCCGTTCCCTGGTTGATGATTAATCTACCGTCATCACCGTACGCTGATACATCATGGCAAGCGTCTATGCAGTCCGAGAAACGACTGCAGTCGCATCCAGTCAGGAAATCAGAATCAGGAGGCTGCACTGGTGATGTGTACTTTAACTGGTCAATGTAGATGAAATTGGCAGGCGATTCCTCGTCAATTTCGTTGATGATTGACACCTTTGTCTTGAGATTTCCCACAGTATATGTATTGGCGTTTTTTTGGTTGGATGTACGGACGATGGGGAACTTGTTCTGTTCAGAAAATGAGCATTGCAAATCCCTCTCCTCGTCATATGCGACTCACCTTTACAGATCCTTTGACAGTCTTTATGGTTTGTTCAAAGATGTCCATCGTATCTTTCAACACCTTTTCCTTTCTGCTCTTCATCTGAAAATAACAAAGTATGAAAAAAAGCAGATGAAATGATGCAGACAACATTCGCTTACCTTTACAGGCTTGGCTACCACGACTGAGTTCGTTTCGCTTTCCAGAGATGCCCTGCTTCTCTTTTTGCTCGTTTTGAGAGGATGAGGCGGATTGAGAATTAACTTGGTTGTGGTCTTTTTGGATGAGGAAATTTTGGATGCAATGGCTTTGGTGTTATTGGTGCTAGTGGTTGTGGTAGTAGCGGCTGTCTTTGTGGAAGTGACAAATGCTTTGACGGCACTGGCTGCAGGCGCCTTTGTTGTAGTATATAGATTTGTGTCGGGGTCATAGGAATTCATCAACAACAGCTTCTTTTCCAGACTGTCCAAATCAAAGCTTTTAATGAGGTGCTTCTCTCTTCGGTAAGTGTTGTAAAAGTCCTTGATGGCCTGCTCAGAATACACATTGTGCTCCTGCTCCCATGTATTTTCATTCAAAGCATAGCCATCCCATTCTACGAGATAGTATCTAGTTCCATTCTACCCCGATTTCATCACGTTAATTGCCCGTAAGGAAAAATAAAACTCACATTCTGTCCATCGTCTATACCTGTTTCTTGGTACCAGCAATACGTGAAACCTAAAGTGATCAAGTTTTTTTTTTTTTTTTTACCAAATGATCAATGGATGAACCTACACCCTAACAACCCATACTTACAACAAACTCGTCCGCAGCTAGTCCGTTCGTTACACTGCTATCGTTACTCATGATGCGCTCTCCCTTGATGTATATTTTGTGGTTTTTTTTCTTGTAAAATTTTTGCCAATTTACTATTCAATTGAACAAAGAAGAAGGAGGGAGGAGGAACTGCAATCAAAATGTTTAGCTAATAAAAAATGCGAAAAAACACCACTTTTTCACCAGTCACCAGGAGATGAGACGAGACAAGAGGAGCTCTATTTCTCATCAATTACGCCCTGCTTGATATAGCCAAGTATCGATATTTACATGTGTGGGATATGTTCAAAGTTTATTTAATGGGTGTGTATAGAAATCAATTCAAAATGAAATCAAGTTTTGCTTTTTGACTATTCTTTCGTTTGGGAGGAGACACGGGAGAAGAACTACTTGGTTGAATTGTATTTTGCTGCGGTGGTTGTGGATGAGGTGGTTGAGGATATGGCTGTTGGCGATGCATAGACTGCTGCTGCTGCTGCTGGTAAGAGTGAGCAACCGGTTGCTCATTGCGGCGATAACAATACATGTGGGCTGGATGCTGCTGCTGTGATGGCGGCGGTGGTGTTGGCGCTTGTGGTCGTTGATGTTGATATTGACCATAATACGATGGATGACATGGCTGCTGTTGTTGTTGTTGATTTTGAGGTGGCAAGTGATGGTATGGTGTTGGTACAGCTTGATTATTATAAGGAGAATATGATTCTTGTGAAGGTGCAATGTGTGAAGATGGAGATTGGGATCGCGGTGGTGGTGTTGGTGTGTGGTTTTCATATTTTACATTATTATTAACACTATTGTTACTGCTACTATTTTTCCATGTACGCTGCTGCTGATGTTGATATTGCGCTGTAATGGCTGGTTGACTATTACTCTCACTTCGAATGATCAGCACATGGTTTTTGTTCATTTGTTGTGGCGATTGTCTGCCTTCAGCATGGAAATTAATAAATTGAACAGGCTGTGGTTGATGAGGCTGCTGTTGTTGCTGTTGTTGCAGTGATTGGAATTGCTGATGATGTACCTGTTGTTGCAACGGCTGATGTGGAGCTTGGGGTTGTGATTGTGATTGTGGTTGCTGATGTATGGGCGAACTTTTCTTGTTTTGCTGCAAGATATTTGAGAAATCATAAGCCCTTTTACTAGGCGTTGGCTCAACGGATGTTGTCAAGAGATTGTGTATGCTGGACGATGATTTGGCTTTTTTCGGCGTTTGCATGATGGTTTCTTTTGGTAATTGTGGTATAGATTTTGATCGACGACTATCTTCAACCTTGTTCAATTCTGGTAAGGCAGTTGGAGCTGCTGCTGCTGTTGTCTCAGGCATTGCTGCAATGACAGGTGCGGATAATGTACGTGCAGAGTGAGTATTTACAGCAGCCGGAATCTTGCTTATTTTGGCTGATGATGAAGGCGGCAATTGCAAATCGGGAGCAGCCTTTTCTTCCACGAGCGAGGTCTTTCTAGAGCGAGATTCCTCTGATTTCATTTGTTTTGACACCCGTTGTTTTGGTAATGCTATCGGTTGCTGCTGTGCCTGCCGTGAAGGGTGCTGGTGTTCATTGTTGTTATTTGCAAAGTGTGGCTCCACATCTACTTTTTCAGTTTTGACATTGACAGGTAACGAAGGCGAAGATATTGAGTTGGTTGAAGCAGAGGCTAATGCCGAAGGTTGCTGTGGTTCTTCTTCTGCCAGTGATTTTAATCTTTTCCTATCCACAGGCTCGTCCTCTTTGACTTCGACTGACTCTTTTAATGGTGTTGTTACTGATGGAGTCGATGATTTTCTCTTCATGGGCGTAGGCGGCTCCTCTGAAATCGAGTTGCTTCTGCTTGAACTGTCGTGACTTTCACGAAAGTAGCCGCTGGATGCTGATGGAAATCCAGGGGATTGAAGCACTGATGAAGAGGTGGGTGTACTGGACATGGAAGCAGTGGGTGTTATTTGTGTTGTTAAGGTCAAGTTACCGGGAGCCTTTGATGGTAATGGCGGCATAGGTAATCCCTTTTCTCTCGCTTTCCAGGCAGCTCGTACCCTGTCCATACATGCTAATAATTGCTCTTTTGTAACGCCATCTTGAATACTATTTAGAATCTTCTTCACCACTTGCTCATCATTTGCTGTGCTCTTATCGTCTCGGAACCGCACAAATCTTTGAAATAATGACCGTCAACCTACATCTATACCCTGATTCCCATTTGAATGCTTACCTCCAGCCACCTTTTCTTACAGTGGGTGCATATCCCTGCTCAATTATTGTCACTTCACATTGAGGATCATATCTATGCAGTTTATCAGATGCGATGCCCCTATTTTTTTTTCTTCTTGCTTATCAAATTGCATCTTACCTAAATTCGGCTATTCGTCCATCAGGTAGTTGATTTTTCCATCTACAAAAAAACGTCAATCTTCGCTCTAGTTTCATTCCAATCAAGACCTTACTGTGTAGCTAATGCTGGTTCAGGCTGGAAATGATCATAGAATTTGTATGTCACGCCGTTCGATAACACTTCAATCGAATAAATGGGTTTGTGTTCTTTGCTCCATCTTGCTGCAATTCTAAAGTCCACTGTATTCAACTCTGGTGGCTTCCACTTTAATCTATCAATCATTGCTTTAGAAACAAAGATCCTGTATCTCATACTCGTTCAAAACCTACAATTTTTCACATGTGCCTGGTGTGTACGGGCATTTGACAGGCGTCCATATAATTCCATCACTTTTATGCTTCAATTTGGGTATTTGTTCAAACACGAGATGCAATCCATATGATCTTTCCATCTTTTTCAGTTCAATTCTGTGTGTAAAATGCAATGTCAATCAGCATTGTTCCTGGCTTGTGTGTAGAGGCAACTTACGTGAAGGGTGGTAACTTTGCTGGGTCAATTTGTGTACGCATTCGAGCGTTGAATGGCTGTATGATATCTTGTTGTAACATCTGTGCATCTCTGTGAGTCTGCTGCTTTAACGCCATGTGCACTGTTACTTACCCCAAGTCGAGAGCTGAATGACCTTTGTATGATGGTAGACCCATTGACCACCATCAAATCAAATATAAGGTATCTCCATGTTTTCTACAAAAAAAAACACACATACACACACATAACCATCAGTCCAACATGTGGATAAATAGAGGTCTGCTCTTTGTACCTTGTTTGCATCAATGTCCAAGACTAGTTCACCGTCCATCAAGGTATCTTTCAAGAATTCGTTCTCTCGTCCCCTGACAGGAAACAATAAATTTGGTACATAATACCAATGTTTATTTCGATCAAACTAGCATGAATCATGATTAGAAACACATTTTTCATGAATGTCTGCCATACTATACCAGAAATGAAGCAGGTCCCTTGGGCGAGTGAAGAAAGAAGAGCAAGTATCGTACACCGTCTGATTTCTCACAGACAAAATAGTCCTCACGTTCAATGTCAATCAAATGTCTCGATTCAAAGCTTACAGGTTGCGATCCGGGAAAGCTACTGTAAAGTGTTTATACAATATACAACGAGTGGCACATGCAAAACATACCTATCGTTTTGACTATTTAGCAATTCTTTAAGCCTTAGCTGCAGTACTTTACTGTAAGTTGGGTCAACGCGTTTTCCAATAAACTCTGGAATTTGCAGCGATTCTGTTGCCTGCATCCTTGGCGATTTTGATTAATTGATTTTATAAGCTGCAACAGGCGAGTATCTATCGTCTCTTTTTCAATAAGTCGGATTCGTACAAACGTTGTTGCAGTTTGCTGAATGTGCAGATCGTCCAAGAGACAAAGGTAGGAAGAGTGAGGGGAGGTAAAGAAAAAGAGAAGAAGGGGGAATTGAGCAAGGATTTTGGTCTGAGATCTTCTTTTTTTTTTTTATGTATATTTATATATAAACAAGGTATATAACAACGTTTTTCTTGTTCGTTTTTCAAATCAACTTTCTTGTTTATACGAAAATCAAAATGAAAACCAAGAAAGATTAAGAAAAGTAAAGGCCAAGAAAGAGAGAAAAAAAAAAAAAGTGTACAAAAGGAAAAAAGGTGCATCCCTTTCATTTTTTTTAGTGCGCCACTTTCAAAACGCAGTGTTTTCCCTTTATTTTTTTTCAATCTCTTTCCTTGGTGCATGGTGACGTGTGAAAGGGACAATGATTGTATTGTTTGTGAATGTCTTATAATGCCTGAAGCAGTTTTTAATAGTGCAGTCAAGCATTAAGTAGATGTAGATGTGCTAAACGTTCATTTTCATATTAAAGATCATCTAACTTGCACGTAAGGATGATTGAAAGCCCTCGATTTTTTCTTTCACCAAGCTCAGGCATCGTGATTTTCTGCATATGAAATGTTTGCCAGGTACATTGGCCAGTTTATGCCGAGAGCTATTATGTCTGGAAATAGAAAGAAAACGCTACGCTTCATGTGTATTTACAAGGTTTACTGCGCTTGACTTTGAATGGTATGAAATGATGAATAATCAAGTGGTTGCCATGTGCGTTAATGGTCTGCTACCATCATCAGGTATCAATTGTAAGCAATGCAAGAAGAATTAGCTACAAAGTCGGCTTGTATTAATTGTAAGTTAGATGCAAAGCGAAAACAAAAGTCTTTATAATATTGTTATTTTCTACCCGATGTAGACTTTGAAATGAAGATTCAAGCACTATCATTTCGTAAACTTACTTAATAAATAAGCTATCTCGTTGTTGTCTGCTTTTGTCTTGCTATCTGTCAAGCCCTGCTGTTTAGCTCGAATGTATAGCATTAAGGCACTGAGGTTTACAATAAATGAAAATTACATCAAAAGCCAAAGAGAGTACCCAAGCAAAGATGCAGCCCTTCCAATATGCAATTCCATCATTTACCTTCACGATCTGGCTTGCCAGCTACCAAAAGCAGTTAAATCATCGCTTTTGGTGTTTGTCTGATTCGTTGATTTATGATCAATTTTCGACTTGATTGAACTATTTTGCAACAATCGACCATGTAAATTGTAATAAACATTCCATACTTCCTTAAGCTTTCATGGCTCTTTCCAGTAAAAAACCAGAAACCACCTGGTACACCAGTACCTGGTCAAAAAAGTTATGCTGCCGCAGCCAAATCTCGCATTATCACCACATCACTCTCTCTCATGCATGGAGAGGTTGTTCCTGCCAGCAATGGTACGCCTACCGCATCTACAACCACTTCAACAAACAGCAAAATTAAGACTCGAATTTGTAGAAATGCTCGAACAGACAATGGTTATCTTCTTGACATTTCCAAGATCCCTAACAAGACTGAACAGCAGCATCTGCAGACCATCGATCAACAGTACAAAGCATCCAATTTCTTTGGCATCAAGTTTTTGGGCAAGAATGTTCAAAGATACATCGAAGTCTATCCCAACAACGAGATTGTCGATCGCTTCGTAACCGAAGGTATTCTCTACGAATCTGAACAGTCAAAGATTCGACTCTTCCCGTGCAAAGCAATCGGTGGAGAAGGCAAGCTCATCCAACTTTCTCTTACGGATATTCCATTCCTTCCTCAAGCTCAATTGTTGGAAGAACTGTCTAAGGCTCTAGGAATTTTTGAAAAAACTTTAGACCTCGGTCTGAATTACGAGCAGTCCATGGGTTGGTTCATGGGTACTGGCTATGCTATTCTTCAGCAATTACCCGGTGTCAACTATCCAGCCCTGCATCACAGCATTACTTGGAAGACCGTCTCTGAGGCTGAAGAATTTTGCCATGCAACCTTCCCGGACATGGCCACTTGGTGTCGCTACTGCCACGAAGAGGGCCACACGAAGTTTGAATGTCCCAAGGCATTGGCCCGCATTATATGTTACAATTGTGATAACGCTGGTCATCGTCAAGATACTTGCCATAAACCCAAGAAAGGATCCTCGGATCGTGAATTCAAGAAGGCTCGAATGATCCCATCTACCACCTCTTCTGCGGAAGCTGACAAGTCCAAGTGGGCGCCAAGCAATATCCAGAACTCGGATGCGGGTACGCCACAACCCCAGGGACAGCGACAGCAGCACCAGAACCAGTAACTCGGCACTACGTCAAGTGATCAGACCACCACAGTAACTCGGACAATTTTGAAGCCAGAATTCACGGTAGAGAAGCAGGCAGGTTCCACAGATCAAATTAACACCCCAGAGGTCAAGCCTATGTCTGAGGACGAGGATACTGACGATGATGACTACATGCCATCAGCAAGCGAACCCGAGAACGAGGCGGAACTGATGAGCGATATTGAAGCGACTGACGACGAAGTCGCCAACCTCCAGCGTGAACAGGAGGAACATCCAGCACACATGACTTTTGACAATGGTGATAGCAACACCAACGACAACACCACGGTAGCTTCTCCCGCAAATTATAATGATTCTACGGCTCGCCACCAAAAATTGTTATAACTATGCCGAAGAACATCCAATTCAAATACGCTTCACTGAACTCCAACAGTCTAGTGAAAGTAGGCCATCCACAAACACAATCATCATACTTCCGCCACATTCGATTTTAACAGTTCAACATAATATCATTCCAAGAAACTCACGCTACTGATACTACTATTACTACAATTGAATTACAACTACAAGCTACACAATATTTATGGACATACTATTGCGGTATTGCCTCTTTCTCTTCAGATTTTATACTGACCAAGATTGCTACTAGTCACCTATATGATTCTGATAGATACATGCTTTGCAAGGTTCATCGCCCTCACAACTTTTATGAGCCTTTTTACATACTCAACTTATATGCACCAGCAACTTCTGACAATCGCCCTCGACAGGAATTCTTTGAGTCAATCTACAACCTGCTCTCAACCCTTTCTGAGACCATCGAGCTCGAACGACTACTGATATCAGGGGACTTCAATTACGATTATGTGCGGGACATCACCAATGCCACTCGTATTGTCAAAACATCGCTGAATTGGTTGAGTTATTTAGATCAGCACTTCCACAACTACTTGATCCTTAACGACATGAATTCGGTGCCAACTTATCAACATGCCTTATCCACCCTCGATTTTATATACGCTGGACATGCACTACGACACTTGCTGAGCGATGCGAACGTTGGATTTATTCCTCCCTCTTGGTCGGATCATGCCATCCTTGAAGTTACTCTCAAACTTGGAAAATCCAAACTGGGCCCAGAACTTTGGAGAGGCAATCCATGTTACGCTAACAACCCAGCATTCAGAAAACAACTGGAAGAGAAAATCAACACAGCCATGGATACAATGGACGTGGATATGACACCGCAGGAACAGTGGGAACGCATCAAATTGGTGACTAGAAAGGCTATCCAAAAGTTTGGAGTGAAACATGTGAACTGGCGTAGGATGAGTATCAAGCATTTGGAACGCAAACGGAATCGACTATTGAGATCCAAGCCTCCCAAAGCTACTCTCCGCATTCTACTGCCAAGGATTGACTCTATGCTACAGATATTACAACAAGAACTGGTGTATATTGCTGCACTCAAGGCTGGGGACACTTGGCTTGAGAAAGGGGAGAAATCCGCTGGGTACTTGAAGCGACTACATCAAAAACGAACATCTCAACAGTACATGGCTTCATTACAAGCCCCCGACTCCTACAGAGATCGAGGCGATGGTGGACCAAGTGCTGAGGTCCCTCAAGTGGTGGTGAACAATGACGTTGTTACCGGTGGCTCGTCAACAGATGCGGCTCAAGGCGATCTGGGTGATACTGCAGTGGCTCACGGTGATACTGGTGATGCTGGTGACGCTGGTGACGCTGGTGACTCTGGTGATACTGGTGATACTGGTGGTGCTGGTGGTACTGGTGGTGCAGACGATATTGGTGTCGAGCAAGACGAAACGAGGCTATCTCTGATGGACTGAGTACTGACTCCTCTGACACTGATTTCGAATCAGATCGTGATGAGGTGGGTCAGATAGGCACAGAGACTTCGGTTGAGCGGCCTTGGATATCTGGCAATATTGAAGATATGAAATCGTTCGCTTGGCATTTTTATACCGACCTATACAAAGCAGATCACGTAGAGCCTAGTGACATTGAGGCATATTTGGACACAGTGACATTTGAGAAAGTGCTGACCGTTGATGAACAGCAATCATTGATAGATCCCATTACTCTGGATGAACTGTTGCAGCAGGCAAATCGTTCAACGAAGGCCACAGCTCCTGGTAGTGATGGTCTGGCCTACCCTTTTCTATCGCTCCTATTTCAAATGACCCGTTTGAAAGAGCTTGTCCTTCGGCTGTACAATGATGCTCTCAAGGGTATCTTTCTCTCTTCCTGGCATGATCTGCGTATTCGTCTACTACCCAAGAAGGGCCTACTTGCGTTGCTCAAAAATTGGCGCCCAATCTGTCTCCTGGGATGTGATGGTAAGGTCTTTACCAGACTTCTTGCTCATCGCATGGCTCCAATTCTTGGGCGGATCATTAACCCATTCCAATCTGGTTTCCTGCAACAAAGGTTCATCTGTGACAATGGCCTAGCGTTATCGATGGTCTTGGAAGAGGCTCGGGCCTTCCATCACAAGGGTGCTGGTATCCTACTTGATCAGGAAAAAGCCTATGATCGGGTGAATGCTGACTATCTGTGTGCTGTTCTTCGTCGTCTTGGGTTTCCCGCCAGCTTTGTGTCATGTGTCAAATCATTGTTCTTTGGCAATAGCATGTACATCAATGTTAATGGTTACTTCACCTCAGCCGTCAAGCAGGAAGGGGGTATCCGTCAAGACGATCCTCTGTACCCTCTTCTTTTCGATGTGGCACTGGAACCTTTCCTATTATCCATCCTGCAAGACACTTGTTTCCATGGTTTTAAGGCAAGCAATGGTGCATCTGCGGATATGGTCTCTTCTCGTGACCCACCAGCTGTCAAATGCCTTGCGTACGCTGATGATGTCTGTGTCCTTCTACGAGACGAACTGGATCTGTATCGCCTCCAACTACACATGGCTAACTATGCAGCCGTCTCCAATGCCAAGTTCAATGAAGACAAGTCAGAAGCCTTCTCTCTGTCTGGTTGTCGCTCTTCGGCGTGGGTGCGAGCCTTTGAAGACATGAACGTTCATACATACCACCACCAAGGCTCCATCACGGCTTTTCGATATCTTGGTTTGTATTTTGCTTACAACCATGCTCAACATGCTCAAACAGAAGAGATGTTACTCAACTCAGTCAGAACTCAATGTCAGATCTACGGACAACGACAACTGTCTCTCCTGGGTAGAGTCACCATCGTCAATAGCCTCATTCTGTCCAAGGTGTGGTATAGTCTGCGCATGCTGAAGCCTACCAAACGGTTTGTAGAGAACGTAAAGTCATGTGTTTATCAATTTGTCTGGAAGAAGAAGCGGCCATTACTACGCAAAGAACTCATATTTCTACCCAAGTCCAGAGGTGGTCTTGCTGTTCTCAACCCTTCTCTTCAACAATTGATCCTCCAAAAACGCTGGCTCAATTACCTCGTTGAACCGCAGAAATGTCCGTCCTTCCTGCGTCCCTTCATGCTCTATCACGTATCACTGCTACCGGCGTCATCAGAGTTTCCTTACTTGGCCTTCGTAGATGCTGAATACTGCAAGTCCTCCCTGATACACAAGGATCTTTCTATTTGGCATTCTATCTTCGCCATGTATGACTATTTTGATTTCAGTGGACTTCAACAAGTGGATTTTCTTCCGGTCCAGACCATCCTGCAATTGCCTTTGCATAAGCTTCTCATAGACCTCAGCGATGATCACTGGCTCCGGCGTCATCCCAAACAAGTTCCTGATCTTTGATAGCCAACAACAACGGCTGCGTCTTCGTGTTGCTTCTGAATATTCGAGCTACCCGTTTCTTTGTGCCTCGCTCTATCAAGATATTCTCATGCTCAAAACCGTCAAACTGGTTCCTGGTGTGTGGCCTCACATTCTGCAGCCTCCTTCCACCTCCACCTTAGATTGGACGAGCTTTGATTTCTTCAGCAAATTGGGCACTAAAGACCTATGAACTCAGTACCATCCCGTAACCTTTCGTCAGCAGCAACAACAGTCGATTCCGTCGGACCATCGCTTCAACAATTCAATGGTCAAGACATTATGGTCAGAACCTGCTCATCCAGCGGCAAGAACGGTCCTCTATCGGGCACTGTCGAAATGCATCCCTCATAAATCACACCTGTACACAATTGGCACTGTGGAAAACTCTATCTGTCCCTTTTGTGCCCTAGGCATCGATACGTTGCGACATTTCCTCGTTGACTGTCCCGTCAAGTGGCACCTATGGCAATCTGTGATCTCACAATACTACGCCAAATATCCTTTGACTTCCTAGATCATATATGGCACAGTGCGGTATCTACATCTTCCTCGCTTTATAAAAGATCGATCCAAGTATATCGCCGTCATATCTACTACCTTATGGCAAATGTGGAATCTGTATTGGCTTCACGGTTCACAAAACCCTGTACCACTCTCCACCGCCTCCATAGAACACTTTTCCTCCAGGGCAGCCTGTCTAATTGATAGACTGCTACCTACTACAACATAATTAATATTAGATGCTCATTCCGTTGCTCGAGGTCCACCACTCCGCGATGTGTCCCTCATAAAATAATATTTGAATAAAATAAAATATTAACTACAAAAAAAAAAAAACCCCCCTCACCCAATGAAGCTAATTATAATATGTGTTTTGAAAAAAGTTATTGAGGAATGTTGCAAAATATGAAATAACGTTTTTGGCCAAAATGTAGAAATTCTGCATATCAAAGTCTCGCAAAAGTAGTTCCAGGGGTTGCTCTGAATCGAGAGAAGCAATTTGATCTAATACATATCATAGTAAAAGTATTCATTTTTGGAGTCAAAAACGCGATCGTTTAATTTTCGATAAAAACCATGAGGTACCCCTCATAGTTTTTGGCCATGTTTTCTTGTTTCCAAAAAAATTGAGCGAAGGTATCAGGAATCAAGTGCTACTTGAAAGCAAGTGTTTGGCGCTATTCCGGCAGTCTAAAACTGCCTCTAACGCGAGAAAACACGACTCAAGCGTAATCAAAATTTGCTGTAATTCGTACAGTTTTGAGCAGTAAGAGGTATTGCTAGCGTGCTGTCAATCTGTAAATAAGTTATTTCCATTTACTCGAATGCGGGGTATCCTACTAGAACCAAATTATAGCTACAAGCCGTTTACAGATAGTTCCCAGGCAAAACTGAAAAGCTAAAAAGCAAATTTACAGAGAGAACTGAGTTGTTTGAAGGGTACTATCACAAAATATCATCATACGCTAGATGAACAGCGTTGAGAAGTCGGTTAAAACCAAGTGCTCAATGTTATGATAGTAGTAGAATGATATAACAAAACGTGATAAGATATCCAAGTCAATCAAAATGTATTGCTTTGGGATGTGCGCGGTAACGTGAGTAACAAAAGTGCATCTGTAACTTCAAGTTCTATCATGTAAAGCTTAACTCTTCTCATTTCTGTGCCTACTACACTGACAATCGAGCATTTGTACCCGGACTTGCAATATTTCAACATTTGAAGGGAGACAGACAAGTCGCGAGATGCAAAAAAAAAAAAAACCCAACATTGACAATTTCTTCTTCATCATTGCCATGAAGCCTTTTGGTACTGAACTGGTTATTGGCTTATTGGCCATAGGTCTCAACTATGGTGCTACATTCAAACTTCCTGCTACCTCTTTATTGAAAGATCCTGTTCAAACTTTATCCACTACAGTGCCCGTACTTTTTGTTGGACATATATTACTCGTTTTATTTGCTCACATATTACGAGGAACTACAAACAAAGCGTTGGTAAGTACGCTCAACAGATGCTTGTGCTCTTGATAAACTAAATTTATTGTTGTAGAAATCAGTTGGATACAGTATACTAGCCACAGCTACAGCAACTGGTGTATTGCATGTTTTAACAGTATTGTTTGGTGCACCCTTGATAGAGTAAAGTCTACAGCCTGCATACACATGTACCATCGTTAAAATGACACAACTCGTTGTTTTTGTAGGAAGATACCAAATACCTTTTTATTTGCAGCATATCTTTCCATTCTAACCGTTATGCCATGCTATGAGTCCTTTCAGGAGACAGCCTGGATTAAGGTCTTTTTACAGCACAGGTAAACAAATACAGGGTGTCTAAACATCACATGTATAGCTAAACAGGCAGTATCCTCATAGTCCAACCACCACATCCGAGATTTATGCATATGCTCAAGCTATTTGCGCACTTTCAGGTGCATGGATCGGCGCCATTGTTTTACCTTTGGATTGGGATAGAGAATGGCAAGCATGGCCAATTTCATGCGTTATTTCAACTTATGTGGGTCATTCAGTCGGTGTTTTAGCTGCGTTTGTTTGGGCATCACTAAAGCTGATGTTTGGTAAAAAGAAGAGCGAATAAATAGTGTATATGTATAGTAGAAGCATTTATGTTTTCGATGAATAATAGTGAAAGGGCGAGAGAGACAGGTTTACAAATGTACAAGGTTAAAGAATCAATGATTTACAGGGATTTTCAGGACGAAGAGGCATTATTCTCCTCGGCGGGTGGCTGTTCGTAGATGGATCGGGAAGGCATAGTCATGTTTTTATCAATGAATATACCACCAAGAGCGTTGATCCACGTTTTACGCTTTTCCATGGCATACACTGTATTTTCTGATAAAACTGCCTTGGGGCCTGCTGATTTTCGCTTCTTGGACTTTTGAGGACGCTATCATGAATTTAAATCAGTTTCTATTGCATGCGCGTATATATGCTTCAAGCGCACTTACAAATCGCTTCAGGTAGCCAGTTTCAACTTGCGTATCTAAAGTATCCAGTACTTGGCGATATTGTTCAAATTGCAATTGACAATCGACCACCTCCAGCAATCTCTTCTTGTGGTATTCGTTTGTCTTTATCTGTTCCTTGAGCTCACGTCCCAATGTGCGCAGTTCTGCACAGATCTCATCGTCCTCTTTTGCATTCCAATCAATCTATACAACATGTTGAGCAAGATGCACGTAACAGCAAGAGTCGACTACACGGACGTACATCCTCATCTCCAAACAAACCAGCATAACGAAGTTCTCTCTTCAGTCTTTCTTCAAATCCTACAATGTCCTCAGTTGGATCCGGAGTCAGTTGGGTTACAGTTCTAGCATTGTATTTCTTCTCTAGAGCGTCCGCCAATACATCACTTTCTCGTCCTGTGTCATCGGGCCCATTCGCTTCCTCATTGTCATCCTCATCACTATGCGGAATCTCCTCTGGGAGCAAGTTCTCCTTAACCAAGCTTGAAATTAATCGATCTGTCAGAGAGCTACTGTTCATATCATGTCGAGAGTCGGCAGACATTGTGTGTTGTAAATGCTTGAGCTTGCTCTCTGATGTATGGAGTCCCAATGCTTGATCTTCTTCAGCCCATTTTTCCACATAATGCTGTCCCAGTGGTGGGATCAGATAAGGTTTACATTGATCTGATTTCTGCATTAGATATTCTCGGTCTTCTTCTGTCAGATTGCGGAAATACGGTTCTAATGTGGTCCAGAATGTGGTTATGGGTATCTGATCTTTTGGTTTCACTCGCACAAAGTCAACTTCTTCCAAAGGCTGTGATTTCTGCTTGGCATTGTGAGATTTGCTGTGTTTACTGTCTGCGTGATTGCCCCTTGCCGAAGACGATTTCTTGATCTTTTTGACATCTGCTCGTTGTTTTGACGGTGGAGGCGATTCGCTTTGTGATATCAATGGTGCTGCATTATCCACTTTCTTCAATTTGATGTTGACATGCGGCGATTCCTCAGAGCTCTCAGTTTCTTCTCTACGTCTTCTTCTTCTGATGATTTCAAGCGCACTATTCAACAATGTGAGTGGTTATCATCATCAAGTCAGGCATGTCAAAACGTACGCTTGTCTGCTAAGTTCAGGTTTTGGTATATTAGAAGAAGAGTGAAGCATCTCCAAATCGTCATCTGTTCATTGTCAGCCCATTATATGCAAATTGCAGCCCATTCGCCATGCATACCTGTCTCTTGTTTTACTCTCATTTTTTCCATTGCAGCAACACCTTTACCAGCTGAAGCAACATTCGAATTTGCTAAACAGACATTAATCTAGCCAGCCTCACATTGCAGTTTGTATCTACTTACCTCCATCGCGAACTTGGACACCTCTCTCTAAGATGAGTTGATCCTTCTTCATGTCTTTCATTCGGGATTGTGTTGAATACAGCATTGATTCCAGTTCTGCTTTCATACTAAGTAATTGCGTTGTATCGGGAATACTTTCATCTTGCTGTGAGCTGCTGTGAGAAGACGAGGTAGGCTTTAATTGTTTAATGATGGCATTGGAAGCATCTGACAGGTGTTTTGGTGGGTCGTATTGACGCGTCAAGTCAGTGTTCATGATTGTGTATTTCTTGTGATTAGTTGTATGAGTTGTATATTTGACGAAAAATGTCCATAAATTAGTGAATTAGGAGTATTTATAAGGACTCTTATGAGAGAAGTCAAGATTAAATGATAGACAAACTTCCCTCTCTCTGTTATGTGCGAGTTGGAGCAGTGTTTTCTTGATCTTTTTTCTTTCCTTGGTATAGAAAATAGTAAATAATGCTAAATCTATCACCGTTGATAAAATGAATGTAGTAGCCTTTTGCTTATGGCAAGCCGTATCAATAGTAAAGAGCGTCACATAAAAAAACTCCAAGAAACCATCAAAATGTTGGAAAAAAAGCCATTTAAATCAGATAATCCCTTTCTCATTTAAACATTTATCAATGGTTGCTGTAACGAAGAATGGTTCAAAAGCTGATATTGGTGGTGTAGTTGATACTATCAACAAGAGAGTCTCTGGTAAGCAATGTTGCTAGGATTGTTTTACGGGTTTATTGATCCAAATGTCTAGGCAAGAATTGGAAGATCCAAAAGACAGCAACTGCTCGTAATCAACAACCTAAACAACTTCGCAAGAACTGGGATCAACGTTCAAAGGAACGTGCAAGAAACGATGCCACCAAGTCTTTGGAAAAGCAATTGAAGGCTGAGAAGCAAGCTGAGAAAGATGTACGTAGATGGGAAATGCCATGTTAAATGAGATTTGATAAGAAGCTGATTGTCCATTGTAGGCTAAACGTGCCGTCAGTTTGGAGCGTAAAAAGCTGCGAGAGGAGCAAGAGAGAATGGAGGCATTGGCAGCCAAGATGTCAGCCAAGCGTCTCGAGAGATTGAAGAGAAGAGAAGCCAGAAAGAAGGCCCGAGTTTAGATGCTATTTTGTGAATACCAGCAGCAAATCGATTGTAATATAATAAAGCTAATTGAACAACTACTAGAAGAGAATGCAGGAGCCCTTGATTCTTTGTTGCATTGCAGTGTCATGTTTCACGAATGTCAATTTTGAATCTTGCAGTACTTGTTGGTTTGTTGTTGTTGGTCTGTTGTTTACACACAAAGAATACAACGACATGCATAGAAAAACAAACGAAACGAGAGCAAGAGTGTGCAATCGTCTTTGGCGTCATTATCCATATCTCTTTATAGCTTTGAAATATAGCTTTTCTTCTTCTTTTCTTTCTTTTTTATATAGCTCTTTTTTTTTTATTAAGCTTCTTACCCCTCTTTTTCTTGTCTTACCCCAATACCTTCCTTAATCAACCAATCCTTTTTGAAAGCATGGCTAAAGATCAAAGCATGAATTATCTGGACTACACTCTGACCGATTACGTGATACCTCAGCAGCAACAGCAACAGCGTCAGCCATCATTGAATGTAGATTTCAAAGCTGAACTCTCCTTGATGTATCCACAGCAGCAGCAACAACAGCCTCAGCAACAATCGGATCAAATACCAAATTACGCCAACATTTTGTTGCCTCAGTCGCCCGATACATTTCAGTGTGATGACAACAACTCGTATTGTACCTCACCTTCATCCATCTTGTCCACAGCCTCAAATCATCTTCAACAACAATTTCCATCGCCTTCTCCATCTCCCTATCAACACGCGTCTGAGAGTAATGCTAGTTTAACCAATGTAGTTGCCATGGATACGGTCTCCATGGATACCAACAACTTTTATCATTCATTTCTGCCTTTTAATACACCTGTTGAAAGCAGTTGCACCAATGTTGATGACTTTATTATGACTCACACTAGTTATAACGGCAACAACAATAGCAACAACAACGACAACAGTAGTAAAAAGAGAAAGTTTGATAAAGTAGAGAAAGATGACAAGCTGAACAACTCAGAGATCAAGAGACAGATACATATTCAATCCGAGCAAAAGAGGAGAGCACAGATCAAAGATGGATTCGAAGACCTTCGAAATGAACTTCCCAGTTGTTTGAATAAGAAGATGAGCAAAGTTGCACTTTTGCACAGAACAGTTCAACATATTCAACATTTGAAAAATACGCAGATGACAATACTAGCAGAGCTTGAAAGGCTAGTAGGCGAAAACGACCAGTTGAGAAAGTAAGCTCTGAAAGAAGGAAGCATGTGTATATATGGATTAATTGTTAATTTACTTGCTGTGTGATAGATTTCAAGAAAATGTACTCCAAAAGCAACAACAGTCGATGTTCTCTACATCTAGTAGTTGATTTACTACATAACCTTTCTTTTCCTCCTTCTTTTTTCGCCCATTCCATTCATTTTCGTTTATATATACATCACACACACACACACACACACACACACACACACACTCACAATTTTTTTTACCATATGTCTCTTATCTGTTTTCTTTTTGTATATGCCATTTTTCTTTATTTACAACAGACTTTTTATTTATCACAATACATATTTATATACACACATATATGTACATATACACAGGCTTTTCTTTGTGATAGTTCTTTTATTGGTGATTTTTGTATATATGTAATTGCGAAGTGAGTAAAATAGGGGGATGTGCGTTTTTTTGAGCGACAGAGAGCGAGAAAATGATAATTAAACAAATATATATATATATATAGGAGAGAGGAACAAGAAAAAAAAGGGAGACGAACAGAGAGAGCGTTTATTCATAGACACCACCTAATACATCCGTTTGTGCTAGTGCCAACAACATGGGATCATCGAAATACTTGTTTATGCTGACATCTTCGGAAAGACCCTTTCTTCTTCTAGTCTTGACCATGAAATCTCTTGCTAAATGTTGAGCGGGACTTGCTTCAAGAGGGCGAAGCACAATACTTGTGTCTAATGGATCTCCAGGTACAATCTGCCAATGATCAAAGATTTGTTGGCAGAAGGCTTGACCTTCGGTATGTGTTCTAAGATCTGTTTCAAAACCACAGGAGTCAATCACGGGGATATATGCCTTGACAGTATATAATGGCGATCCAGGCTTGGGAATGTCTTGAGTGACGTGGCCTCTGTGAGCATTGTTTGTTTTGATATTAGACAATATGTTATATATGTATAAATAACTTGTTTACCTTCGTCGTTGTAAAACTGCATAAACTGCAGATACACAATCAGCCGGGGCTTGAATCTCAACATAGTATACAGGCTCCATCAAACGAGGGGTTGCCTAATGCTCAAATATGAGTAAAGTGCACACTATCAAACAGTAGATCAAACTTACAGTCAAGAAGGATGAGTAGCAAACACGACGAGCAGTAGGAATGATTTGACCACCGCCTCTATAAATAGGCTCATTTGCTAATACAGCATCTAGGATTTTGAATTTAACATTACGAATAGCTAATCATAAAAGAAAATGTTAGTATGAGCGACAGTCATCTTGAATCCATACCAGGAACTCACGTTCATCACAGAGGGGACCTTCTCTTGTACCCCATTGGAAGCCTTGGCGAATAGAGTCTTTGACAGAAAATAACAGTTTTTTATCCACTTCAGATGGCAATGTATCGTCCATTAAGAGATTGGGGCCCATATCATCAGGACCAAATGCCCAAACTGATCTTGATGCGAGAACATCCCAGCCATGTTTTGTTTCCAGATGGCTGCCTAATTTACTCTTGGGCCAGCGGATGCTGATATCTCCATTCTCGATTTCTTCTGCAAGCTCTTTTTCAAGCGGTTCAGCAATGAATGTCAGCTTGTTCCTATCAAGATGGTTTAGTATATGCGTGCCATCTCCATCAAAGGGGGGTATCTTACTTCTTGTTTGGTGTTTCAGCAAAGCATTTTAATGCAGAAGTCTCCACAACAGTTTCACAGAATCTTACAACAGGATCGGATACCTTGAGTTCAATTTCTGCGTACATGCGACGAAGATCATGCAACACGCAATCCAAATACAGCTCGCCTGTGCCCAATACAATGTGCTCGCCAGATTCCTCAACTTTGGTAGTGACGATGGGATAGCTCTTGTTGATTTTGCGAAGGCCGTCCAACATCTTAGGCAGCTCTGATGGGTTGACAGGCTCGATGGCCACCTTGAGTGTAGCTGCTGTAGGGAATCGCAGTGGTTTGAAAATGTATGCATCCTCTTTGGACTTTTGATCGACAATGGTAGCTGTTTTCATGATGGAGCTATCCACACCACCTAGCAACACCCAACCACCAGCAGGCACGCCCTCTACTTGGACACGGTATCTTGACTCAAAAATCCATGTGTTTTCTACTTTCTGCATTGTCATATCTTCCTCGTCGTCAATTGAATATCCCTCTCCCAACACACGCACGATTTGTCCAGCCTTGATGCTTCCGCTGAACACTCTGCCAAACGCGTGGAATTCTGTGCTCTGCTCGTTGTTAAATAGCTTGGTCACTTGCATCATGAGTGGTCCCTCAGCATCACACTTGACCATTGACTGAACAGTTGCCGAATCAATAGGCCCAGTGTAGAAACGTTCAACTTTGTGCATGGCATTTTCGACAGGAGAAGGAATGTGCTTTGCAACCATATCCACAAAGGAGCCGGCAAGACCAAAGAATTGTGTCAGCACCATATGAAGGAGAGGCTTCACATTCAGCTCGTAATCCTTTGCTTTCAGATAGATGCTGAGAGAGCGTAATGTCTTTTTGAGCTCGTTGGTGTCTTCGCCCAGGACCTGAGCATAGATCTTGTACAAGGGTTCCAAAATGAAATGTACAAATGTACGTTTGCTGGCTCCATTCTGTGATTTGCGGTTGAAAGAGCCCTTTTCAGGGTTAAAGTAAATGTCGCCCCATAGACGCTTTGCAAATTCATTTTCGTCGAAATCAGCTTCGTATGAATCAGCGTAAAGTTTCGAGAATGACTTGAGCGAAAAGATCCAGCCTGTTTGACTGGAGGCAAAGCAAACGTTACCTGATTCGGGTGACAGACGGATGTGGTTTCCGCCAGGCACAGAGCTGCAGAACACATGTTAGAAGAGCTACACTTGTTAAATAGCTACCACACAACAGAGTCAACCTACCGAATCACAGTATTCACCTCTTCAATGGTATGGCGCAATTTGTAATAAGCATCGGCAGGTGGCAATTTCAACTCCAAGATCAAACGGTCGACTTTGTTGATGACCAATGTCATAGCGAGGCCCTCACGAACACAGTGCTTGATCACTTGCTCCGTATTCACCATGACGCCTTCCACTACATCAACGACAATAACGACGCCATCTGCTAAGCGTGTTGCTGCGACGACTTCGTCAATGAAATTCGTGTGGCCAGGTGTATCCAAAATGTTGAGCAAATATGATTTTTCCTTAATGTCCTGCATCACAAGAGTAACAGGCATACTTTTGATGGACACGCCACGCTCTCTTTCTAAAATATGTGTATCGGTATAGCGTTCAGGTTGATCGACATTGATTGGAATATCGTGTGTTTCTGAAATGAGCATGTCTACAAATGAAGTTTTGCCATGGTGAAGATGGCCAACAACTGCAATGTTTCTGATCAAGTCTGGATGGTTCATCAAATCTGACATGTATCTATTCAACGCATACGGTAAGTAACTGATGTGGGTTGGTGAGGTATATGATTAAGTAGACGTACTCTTTACTGTAGTAAGTTTCTGGCAGATCAGTCTCGGTGACATTGAACTTTCTCACTTGGATAGGTGCGATGATGGGTTCGGATAATGGCTGTGTATCTTCTTCCTGTACCATGGTCTCTACATCCTCGCCATACACTTCTTCAGCAGAGGGATAATACTTTTTCTCTTCGTGTAATACAATCTGATTAGCAGGAATATCTAATTAAGCATGTACGCGTAGAATAGATGAGTAAAACGAGTGCGCGTTCGCTATGTACACTGTAGATTATACCATCAATTTGCATCATGGCGCTTTCATCGACCTGCTCCTCTTCCTGTTGCTGGTCTTCTTGAGCAATGCCGACTTCATCATCATAGGCGTCTTGCTCCTCCTCTTGCTCCTCCATCAAATCCTCATCATCATCTTCGAGGTCAGGGCCGAGGTAGTTACCAAACTCGTCATAAAGTGAGTCGTCCATTATTAATTATCCCAAAAAGATCGCGTAAAGCAAGGTCTATTGAAAGGGGGTCAATAAAAGAAAAAGGGTATGGAAAGAATTTTTTGACAAAAAGCACCAAACTGGCTTTTCTTCGCAAGCCCACGTCATATGTGACTATACAAACAGGCAAACTTCCATGTCAAAATGTCATGAAATCATGCTCAAAACCAAGCAATGATCTGCAGGGAACTCAGGAATCAAAGGCTTTGGTAAGAACCGCCTGCCAACGTACTCAATTGCTTGAGAAAACATGCACTCTATTACTAAAATCGCAAGCAATCCAGGCTGCCGTGCATCGTTCATCACAGCTCAAATGCTCCGCGAAAACCCAGATGCCTGCCCTCCTCCTCACGAATGGCAGCACGACATCCCACTCAATATTGAATTGATCAATGGTGTCAGCATTGGCTGCTCTTCACACTGTACTTGCTGGATCCACATTATTTGCTAAAAAGCAAAGGCGGTAATGATTACTAAATATGAACATTGGATGCAAGTGGCCAGGCATTGCTTGCTGAAAAGAGTTGCTTTGCATCATGTCAATTTTATGAGTGAAACAGCTGGCTTTGATAGATTACTACTGGTAGCTGGGTTGAGGCATTGATTTACGAGACCACACTCAATCTGCTCTCCTATGAATCGATAGCTAATTTAATCTATAATTTTGATATGGAAAGAATGTCATCATCAATAAATGAAAACCGAGGTGCATGTTCAAAAATGTAGACTAAATGAATGAATGATGTTGATTTACCCAGAATATTAGCATATCGAATCAGATTCATGATCGTTGGCACCAAATAGGAAGGTGGAGATAGCTTCAAAGTAAACATCTTTGTGTACCTGTTCAAGCTGAATCATTACTGCGTTTGATTGACTGTGATGGTACCTTTTTTTTTTTTTTTTTTTTTGGCTGTAAATGGCGAGAGGGGTACAAGGAGAGGGGCTCATCTCTACATGTATCATGATTAAGGAGTGTTTTCTCAAAAAGAGAGAGCATCTCACTAGCTTCTTGGTGGTGGTGATGATGATGCTGCTGATGATATCACTTGTGGATATTTATATAAATGTACTGTTTTTATATGTACAACGTTCGTATTCCCTCAATTGTCAGCATTGCGCGTGTTCACACACTTTTTAATAAGAATTGATCATTTTTCTTTATTTCGTCTCTCTTTTTCCCCTTTTCCGTTTTCTTTCCAACTGTTTTAGAATAAAGGAGGGTTTATTGAAATAAGAAAAACTCACCAGCACATTGTTTTCTTTTCCCATTACTCTCTTTTCTTCTGTTTTTTCTCCAGCATATACCAATATACACATCCAAACATTCAAACATGGAGAAATCGGTGTTGAACAATTCCATGATAAAAGAGGAAGCCTCTGCCAACAGTGCCAAATTGAGCAGCAACAACGGCAGCAGCATGAAGCCACCAGTGTATCTCAACAACCCTCGACCCCACTTGAAGAGGCCGTTGGAATCCAATGCCTTCCCACCCAGCCATCCATTAGCCGGCCTATCATTACCACAATTACCAACACCATATCAACAGCAACAGGCTGCTCGCTTACACTTTTATCACACTCGCCCACCTGCCTACGTTGAAAAACCAAGCTTTGGTCTCAAAGATTTTGAATTACAAGATACCTTGGGTAAGGCTATTTAAAAAAAAAAAAGGATAAACAACTCCTGAAATTATAACTTACATATTTATTTAAGGCACTGGTACTTTTGGTAGAGTTTATTTATCCAAATTTGTACCTTCAAGTAAATATTATGCCATGAAAGTGCTTAAAAAGTCAGAAGTGGTGCGATTAAAGCAAGTGGAACATTTGCTGTCTGAAAAGCAAATCCTGTCATCGGTCCGGTTTCCCTTCATTGTAGATCTGTAAGGCATTTGTGACATAAGGCATGTTTGGTGTATTGATTTGATTTATATAGCTTTTGCACCTTTCAGGATGAATCAAATTTATACATGTTACTCGAATACGTGGTGGGCGGAGAGCTGTTTACCCATTTGCGAAGAGCCGGACGATTTACAAATGACATGACAAGATTCTATGCATCTGAAATTGTGCTGGCAATAGAGTATCTACACTCAAAGGACATCATTTATCGTGATTTGAAGCCAGAGAATTTGCTGATTGATCATCAGGGCCATATCAAAATTACTGATTTTGGCTTTGCAAAAAAAGTGGTTGACAGGTAGGCTACATCCACAATACCGCTTGCCGTATGGAATACTAACATGCACGTATAGAACATGGACATTGTGTGGTACCCCAGAATACTTGGCTCCTGAAATCATTCAAAGCAAAGGACATGGTAAAGCTGTTGATTGGTGGGCCTTGGGCATTCTTATCTTTGAAATGTTGGCAGGGTAAGTACTCGGTGTGGGCGGATCTATATGTGGCCATCATATTCAACATATATTTTAGTTATCCTCCTTTTTTTGACGACAATTCTTTCGGCATCTATGAGAAGATTTTGATGGGGAAAGTTCAATTCACTGCTCATTTCGACCCATTGGCAAAAGACCTTTTGAAGCGGCTATTAGTGAGCGATAGGACGAAACGATTAGGCAATCTCAAGGTACGATGAAGACTACATTGGCTGTACCTTGTGCTCATCCTTTTTTATTAGGGAGGATCAGAAGATGTGAAAAGACACAAATGGTTTAGAGGTGTTGATTGGGTTGGGCTATTGGACAAAAATGTGCGGGTAAGTGTATATTTACAATGATTGTCTATTTGTGAATCTAATATGTGGATCCAGGCACCGATTGTTCCACATTATCCTCATCCTGGAGATACAAGCAACTTTGAAAAATACCCTGAACAGCTTGATACCAATCATGATAATGCAAATGGTGAAGATCCCTTCAAGGATTTGTTTGTGGGCTTTTCATAATCACCAAAATTATATATCAAATGTATGTAAATTCATCATGGCAACAACAAAACCAGATAAAAAAAAATACACATATTGCAGAGCATTAATAACATCTACTCATGAAACAACAACAAAATTCACCACAAATCTTCTACTCCCCTCTTCCGCAAAGAGACATGATTGTATTCCCTTTTTTTTACCTCTTTCTCTTTCCATACCCGCATATATATCTTGCTTTATAAAATTACTACTACTATATACTATATTCTAAATAAATGGAACAGAAGCATAGCAGCAGCAATAAGCATAGCCTCATAATAAACATTAGTTGGACACAAGGAGTAAATTTATAGATTGAAATGGCAACACAATAACAACGAATACTATCAAGATAATCAACTCCTTGAATGAACTATTATTGTGCAACAATGACAGGAAGGGGGAGGTATCTGTGTGCATGTATTAGCTCTTCAGATGATGCAAATTATCGTAGCTCGTGATGTGTAATATATTTAGCTAATTTTTTTCGACAATAACAAATCAGCAAGGCATTAGATGTGTACCTGTATCAAGTATAAAAATCACCAGCCGGTCAATCTCACTACGCTCAATGACGGCGTCGCTCTGCGGACTCTCGCCAAAGACATTTCAAACCAGAGAAAATAAAAATCTGGCATATCAAGTAAATTTTAAACAACCAATTAATAGTTTTAAAAAAAAGGATATATCATAGTCAGGAGAGCGAGTCATCCATCGCTGATGTTGCTCTTGAGATGGCAGCATAAAACTGATCATCGGTAAATACAGGACTTACCATAAGATCTACAGCGACTTTTTTTTTAGAGTGTCACTGCAAAAGACATCTTTATTATAGAAAAAAAACTCACATGCTAAAATAGAAAAAGTATTCAAGCTAAGCAATTGTTCTTTAAGTTCATGATCCTCATTTAATCAGCATCGCAATCATCATTGTTATCATCATTGTCATCATCCGAAAGGCATTTGGGCCAGCCAGCAGTAGTGCCGCCCGCCAAAATTGGTTCAAACTCAGCTTATTTTCTTCTGTTCAAGATTGGGCAGATATTGTTCTTTTTCGACTTCTTTAATCTATTTTGGGATATCCGACTATATAAATTGTAATGATCACCCTACGCTTCCTAATACATTCTTGAAGCACTTTTCAAGGCGCTTCCAATGGTGCTAATTGTTATAAATGTTTTGACTGAAATTATTGAGCAATTTAATAAAGTTTGAAATGAGGTTTTTTTAGCGAAAATAGCCATATTTTGCATATGAAAACCTCATAAAAGTGGTTTCAGATGTTGCTTTGGGTCGAGAGAAACATTTTGATTTGATATCATAACATAATAAATGTTCAGTACTTTTGCACTTTACAATCCTAATATGGAACCTGAGTTTCAAGGCATCTATCAGACCTGGCTCATATGAGAATAATGATTTTACAATCAATCAACAAAAACCACTGTAATTTCTACCCTCTTTCCTCTGCTCAGTGCTGTCAATGTTTTATTTGAGCGACGTCTCAGAGCCTCAGAGATTTCATTACTTACTGCAGACATTTTATGCAACCCATGCATTGTCAATGTCCAGACTAACGTTATTAAATATAGAATGCAATAAAATATCATTATGAACGATATAGAAGGCAATAAAATATCATCATAAACGATAGTGCTATGACCTGCCATCTACTTTCTATACGCTTCAAGGGCATTTACTACTGTATTGCCTTATGAAAAGGGCATGAGTTTTCCAGCTGGCCCTACCAGCCAAAATTAATTCAAACCCAGAATCATAGTCTGTTCCAGATTGGACATATTTTGATAATTTTGGACTCGATCGAGCTATTTTTGCAGATTCGACTAAGTGAAGTATGATAATCACCCCATGCTTCCTTAAGCTTTCCTGGAGTACTTTTCAAGGCGCTTCCAATGGTACTAAGTAAAATAGATGTTTTGAATTCACTTATTGAATGATTTGTAAAAATATGAAAAGAGATTTATGGCCAAAATGTCGAAATTTTACATATCAAAGTCCCACAAAGATAATTTCAGAGGTTGCTTTGGATTGATAGAAACATTTTGATTCAAGATATACCATAGTAAAAGTCTCCATTATCAAGATGAAAAATGCGGTCGTTTGATTTTCGATGAAAACCATGAGGGATACCTCATGCTTTTTGGTCGATTTTTGACCATGTTTTTTTGGTCCCCAAAAAGTCGAGCAAAAGTGTCAGAAAGTAACTGCCATATGAAAGCAACCATTTGGGGCTATTCTGACGATCTAAAACGGCCTTGAACGCAAGAAAATTCAGCTCAAATGCATTCATACATTGCTGTATTAGGGACACTAAGGACTAAAAAGTGGGAATACCAGTATGCTGCTTGCCCGTATATGAAGTAGCTACGTGTATATGGATGTAGAACATCACATAAGAATCAGATCCACAGATAATATGAAGGGTTACTATGTGTAAGTGGAGGGTCAAAATGAAAGTAGCAGTATTTTGATAAAATACGCAAGAGCAATCAGTAGCACGAGCTGCCGCTGCGCAGGTTGGTTCTCTACCTTTGCTACGCTTCGGTGAGAACCATCCGAAGCATAAACACTCATACGATTAGTGATTACATATCAATCAACAATCAGGGTTCCTCTTCTAACATTTTAGCTATATTAATTTTGGGATGTTAGCCAAAGGCCCGCGGCAGCGCGAGCCGTTTGAACGTAGGTTGGTTTCCACCGAAGCGAAGCGTAGGTCAGGAAACCACCCGAAGTGCTGAAAGGCTCGTATACCATAGTAAAATTCTTCGTTTTCAAGGTGAAAAATGCGATCGTTTGATTTTTGATGAAAACCATGAGGTACCCCTCATGGTTTTTGATCGATTTTTGGTCATGTTCTTTGGGTCTTCAAAAAGTTGAGCAAAGGTGTCAGGAAGTTACTACTACTCGAGTACAATTGTTTGGCGTTATTCCGGTGGCTCAGAAAGGTCTACATGTCAATATATGAAGGCTTGAAAGTTGTCAAATTTGGTTATGTTTTTGCTGTATAGCTTTTATTTACACGGCATGAATCACATCTTTAGTAGCTGTAATCTTCTGGAAGAGTAATTCTGCAGCCTGTACAATTCCTTATTTGAATAGAAGGCATATTGATTTCGGTAAAGCTAATTTATGCAAATTTTGATGCGATATGTTGCTGGTAAGCTTATTAACAATGGAAATGAAAACCCGAATCTGCTGCTTGAATACTATATGGTTTTGCACCTTCGCTTCACAACAATCAAGCCCTCGTATAGATCAGTGCTATCAAATGCTGGATTGGATACCTAGTTGTCATAGGTTTTCACCTTTGCTTCGCTGCGATCAAGTCCTCATATAGGTCAATGTTACCAAATATTGAATCAGATGCGCTATGTTCTTGGTGGATGGGCTTACCACCTCCTCCAAATCCCCTCCTCAATACCGGCTTCATTCACCTTGTACAGTCTTCACTATATATACTGTAAAACACTCAAAATTTTAAAGAATTGTGTGCCGTACAAGGTGAATAAATCCGCCAACAAAGTCTGCAATCAGGAGAGTGTTTGGGGGAAGAACATAACGCGTCTAATTCGACACTTGATAGCATTAGTTTATAGAGAGGTTTTACCGTAGCGAAGCAAAGGTGCAAACCTATGACAACTAGGTATCCAATCCAGCATTTGATAGCACTGATCTATACGAGGGCTTGATTGTTGTGAAGCGAAGGTGCAAAACCATATAGTATTCAAGCAGCAGATTCGGGTTTTCATTTCCATTGTTAATAAGCTTACCAGCAACATATCGCATCAAAATTTGCATAAATTAGCTTTACCGAAATCAATATGCCTTCTATTCAAATAAGGAATTGTACAGGCTGCAGAATTACTCTTCCAGAAGATTACAGCTACTAAAGATGTGATTCATGCCGTGTAAATAAAAGCTATACAGCAAAAACATAACCAAATTTGACAACTTTCAAGCCTTCATATATTGACATGTAGACCTTTCTGAGCTACCGGAATAACGCCAAACAATTGTACTCGAGTAGTAGTAACTTCCTGACACCTTTGCTCAACTTTTTGAAGACCCAAAGAACATGACCAAAAATCGATCAAAAACCATGAGGGGTACCTCATGGTTTTCATCAAAAATCAAACGATCGCATTTTTCACCTTGAAAACGAAGAATTTTACTATGGTATATATCAAATCAAAATGTTTCTCTCGACCCAAAGCAACATCTGAAACCACTTTTATGAGGTTTTCATATGCAAAATATGGCTATTTTCGCTAAAAAAACCTCATTTCAAACTTTATTAAATTGCTCAATAATTTCAGTCAAAACATTTATAACAATTAGCACCATTGGAAGCGCCTTGAAAAGTGCTTCAAGAATGTATTAGGAAGCGTAGGGTGATCATTACAATTTATATAGTCGGATATCCCAAAATAGATTTTTTTTTTTTTTTTTTAAATTGTGTTTATTGATTGAGCCGCGTACACTAAGAGTAATAGGTCAGAGTGAAGAGGCGGGTGCAATTGAGAAATGAAAAAAATATAAATATAAATGGAAACTAAACTAAACTAACAAAAGGAACTATCTAACTATCTAAATTACAAGAGGGAATGGATTTGATCTTCATCCACTGTCTGTCGGACAGTGGAGTGGATATGTACCAGAATCGCCTCAGGGACAAAGATAGTGCCGTCAAAAACAAAGCGCATATGGGCTAGCCATATTTGAGACAGGGTGATGAGTAGGATTCTGTATGGATGGATGCCTTTGACTTGGGAGTACCAGATATCTGAAAAGTCCAGGGACAGAAGAGCCTCTTTGATGTCAGTGATGGACGTGGTGGGCCATAGGAACTCAAAAATGACGCCTTGCCATACCTTTTCTTTGGATGGACAGTCAAAGAGCAGGTGGCTGGCAGTTTCATTGGGAGACAAGCAGACAGGACAATTGTGGGACTCGAA